TCTGCTCTGCACAATTCGCGCTCTTCAGCTATTCCGCATTGCAACAACTCGAGTCCTCCTAAATGGGGTATACCCTTACACGCTACGACAAGTGGTGCCGATTAGTCTCCATCCGTTTCCTAACTACTTAGTCATTGCGCGACACGCTTGGCGCCATTACGGCAACATTAGCGGGACCGTCGTCCCATGATTCAGGGCTGAGGACTTCGCGTGGGCGGCTCGAAGAGCAATGTCGAGGGTCTTACACAGTTCCCCGTCACGCGATGTGGTGACCCCAATATGTACCACACTTTTGTACTTAGCTGTGGCAACAAAGAAAGTGGCTGACTTAATATTAAGCGAGTATCAAATGGAGATTCGCAACGACAAGCGTCTGTCCGCTTTTTATGTGCTAACGCTTCAGACTGCACTATTTATGTGAGAAGTTGACAATCGAACATACGGTTCACCTTATATTGAGTGATTATCGCCACCCGTTGTTATCTGCAACACCTTTGGAGTTGGAGATGCGTAATCAATATTTAAAAAAAGAACTTTTCTTCTTTACGCCGGTGTTCTATGAGGCCCTGGTACTTCCTTGGAAGTGCCTGCCAATTAGCTCAACAGAAAAGACTGTTGCACTGCCCTACCTCAGTTAAGTGCAGGTGATATTTCGCATTATAAATACGCCATCAACAGCAGGAATCACTGCGTGTATTTCATTCTTAAGACATGTGTTAATCCTCATCGTTTATGGTGCTAAGTCACAATAAAATTTCTCGCGCGGCCCCCAATCAACCACTACTCTCGCACGCGTCGAAATGTTTGCCTCGAAGTTTAGGAATCCGCAATTCGTAGCTAATGGAGGACACTAATTGCTCGTTCACGGAGCATGAATTGGGCTCGCGATAAACGGGGAAATTAGTGGTTCAATAATTACCCGCGAATTGGTTGCGAATAACGACACGTTGCTCATGTGATCTCGGTAATTTATCTCAAGAACAAGCCATTTTTTTTTCTCTTTATCTTTCTGATTTACTTTTTCTTCCTCCTTCTGTCTAATAAAAATAAGGATGGAAATCCTGATCATTATGCGTTACCCTACACAGTAAAAGCCTATTCTTTCTCGCCTTAAGGATCCCGGGTCGCAAAACTATTCTTTGTGGCTTGTGAAGAGGAATGAAAATCAGAATAGAATAAAGGGGCATAATTATTTTCTCTCTCTCTGTCCCAGAGAGCGTTCTCCGTGTTTTTCGCTCTAAGTTGGCCTATTATTATCATTAAAATTTAGGTAGTTAAAATAAGACTTCCCAATTGACGGATATATCCTAATCATTTTAGCTAAGCAGGAATTAAATTAAATACTTTAACACGTGTAAACACGACCTTTTTAGTTAGAAATTGGGGAATGTTGACACCAAGATAGGACTATGCCTATTTTAGATATCGATTAAGTTATGCAATTTCTTTACAAACTACTTAAGGACTTATATTATTTATTACTTATATTATTCGTTTGAACGCTTCGGTGTTCGACAACCAGTTTACGCGTGCGTCGAATAAGTTGACTCAAGTCAAATAGTTATTTTTCCATAATTAGTATTAATTCGACCAGTTGCCCATTAATTCTTAAGCATTATGGGCGACTAGCCGTCCATAAACAACCTGGTCCCAGGTTCAGATCTTGGATCGTGCACCATTAACCGTCTTTCGGGTGATCGCGCTGTCACTGCGCATTTATGCTTCACGTGAGATGAAGTTATCTAAACACGTTACGTTAACAGATTTCGTTTGCAGATAAATGATGCTATCATGATCGATAGCGCTAATTTTCCGCGGCAACGCAATAGCTTCCGTTGCTGCAGGAATGGGCAGGCTCGCACGTGGAAGCACCCATAATACCATCATGAAGACCCGTGGCCGGGCGCATTGTTTTTAAAAGTTGGCGACGCATCTGCAACCCATCTGGATGCTCATGAGTGGCAATCAAAGTGGAACAGAACCATTAATATCTTCAAGTAACAGCGTATATGTCTCACTGCTGAGCAAAGGCCTCCTCTGTACAGAGGGTATTATATTTCAACACGCGACCTCAGATTGCAGATTGGCGGACTTCACGTATTCGAAATATTATTTTTTTCTTATTATTTCGAAAATATGCAGTATTCGTCACGATGTTTTCCTTCACCGCTGAGCAGGTAATAAGTCTCTTAAAATTAACAATTTCATTGGCGCCGGCTCCGGGGATCGAACTCAGGTTGCTAGAGTACATTGAATTAGAAGCGAGCGCCCGGACACTGAGCAATCACGGCTTGCGAGTGAATATCATCAAGCGAAAACTTTGCTTTCGACTAAAAATTATAAAGCTACTCTCAAGTGCGGAAAAAAGTGTGCGATTCGAATCAAACTCGCAAACAATAGAGGGAAACTGTTAGAGAGAAAAAAAAAAAAAACACCTACATATAAGTAAACAACGTGATTTCTCGCAAGTCCGAAAATCTCGCCGATAAACAAACCTCCCCGAGGTTTGTTTACCCACTTAGCATCCACGGGTGGTCACGTGGAGACCCAATATTTGCACAAACATACCATATAAAAAAGTGCCACTTGTACGACACTTCCTGGCTAATCTCTTTGGCCTTTATTTTAACTATAATGTGTACACAAGAACATTAACTATAAAAGAATAACGCCATAACTCTTGTAGCTTGTACGTAATTTCATAACGTCCACTCTATTGTATTCACTGTGTTCCATTGCAATTATAAAGGTGAACTAATGGCGCATTCTTATAAGAAAAGTTAATTAAAACTTCATGATTTACTCCTGGACGATGCATCATATCTAAAGAGAGGTTTCTTTTACTAACGAGTTTATCGACACCAGATGTGTACTACCAAAAATTTACTAAGCGGTTTTAAAGTAACTACATATACGTCCCACTGCTGGGAAAAGGCCTCTTCTGTCTGAGGGTTTTAGGGCATACTGCAACGCCCAGCGGACGCACACTGAGCTGTTTTTATACTAGCAGTCTTATTCGTGAGCTGAGCTGATGCGTTTACCATCTAGGGTTGCGTCGCCGTGTGAAATCGGGCGAAAAAATACTGGCTACTTACTCGCAAAAACACAATTGGCGAGAAAATTTACGCGAGTCTGTTTTTGTTCGTTCTTGACACCGACCGTAGTTGCATGGAACTAATATCGAAGAAATGTTAGATAAAAAATACCTTAGAAAAATTAAAGAACAAATTTTGCCGGCGAAACTGTGCAATCTCGATTTTTTTATATTTCAATACATCCATGACATTGCAATAAAGACGAATGTAACAATATATTCATCAAAATCGATCCCGCAATTTAGTAGTTACGAGGGAAAATAGGAACAGTACATTTCAAAAATGACCGGTTGAAACCATGGTTAAGAGATAGTTGAAAACGAAATAATAAACATTTATCCATACTAATATTATAAATGCGAAAGTAACTCTGTCTGTCTGTCTCGCTTTCACGCCAAAACTACTGAACCGATTTAAATGGAATTTGGTACACTGATAGTCTAGAGCCTGAGAAAGGGCATAGGCTATTTTTTTTTTGGAAAAAAAAATTTGTAAAGGGGTGAAAGGTTAAAGAAAGATATTTATTTAAGGGCTTCAGCGCGAGCGAAGCCGCGGGCGAAAAGCTAGTATTACACATAATTTCGAAAACAAAGTGCCAGTAGCGTGTTTATCATAAAATAGGATACATAATGACACTCGAGAGCAATAAATTGAGAAATGAGCGCCTACACACCAGTAAACGCTTCGCACCTAAACACAGTTATATAAGGATAATTGTTAAAATAACTATCAGTTTTACCTAGTAAGTTAATAACGGGGATTTTTAGACGCTGATGGTCGTAACTATACAAACAGTTAATGAGTAAGATTTTAATCTTTAATCACTACCGAGTCTCGGTCTCAAGTTACAGTCCTTCGTAAAGGCCCATTTACACGATGCCATTTTCTTGTACATGCAAGAGCAATAATTGAATGCAATAAATTGCGCGCAATAATTGGTTAGACCATTTGTTGTTTAGACCATGCAACTCATTTATTGCTTCAATTTAATTGTATACAACAGGCAAGAAACTGGCACCGTGTAAATGGGCCTTAACTATCGTATGATTTCCAATGACAATTTCATCTCTATGACTTAGCCAGGCTTGGCAACAAGCAGTCTATAAGAGCAGATGGGAAAGCGAGTTAAGAGGAGTTAATTTCTGACTACACTATTAGGGAACGCAAAAGGAAACGAAACGATATAAGCGAATTGAGTGGGACTGAAGAAGAAATGTTTTGCCTTAGGCCTGAATCATTTTCTAGAGTTCCCTTTTGTTTCTAGTCATACGCCCGCATAGTTAATACACTTTATCTATACAATGAAGTTATGGGTGATAATTTGAAGTCCTTTTTAATACAATTATTTACTTGTCCACATAGTCTACGATGGAACTCAAAAGCATAAATACTTCTCCGTTCATGGTTTTTCGTCTAGATCTGGTACGGTCAGTTTAAGGAGTAAGCGGTAACGGGAACCTAGTTATCATCATAATACGCGCATGTCGGCATCGGCCAAAACAACAAAAAATATAAGGCACGTAATGGTTTCTCGTAACTGCGAATACACAAACTGTTCCGTGTATAAAAATCGATAGATTCAATAGGTTAGACATTTATTTAAAGGGTTAGATGTCCTAAATAATAGCTTATCATAACAACGAGAGATGTAAAAATAAAAGAAAAAGTAATATTTAACAGCTGGGCCAATGCCAATTCGAAATTTGTTTTGGCGATAGATTCAGACGTTCATAATGGATCGAAATAAACCTTGACTTGTCAAATATCCATGGTCAGGGGACCGTCTATCTACATGATAAAAGGCGTAAAAAGCATAAAAAAATCAAATTAGATTCCTCCTGCAATTGTTGTCATCCTGCTAAGTTTCAGAGAACTGTAAGTTGCATATAGCTTTAAGCAACTTACCAAAGTGCCCAAGTAACTGTGGCCGATCTCTTCTTCGGAGGTGTCTCCGGAGACCAGGGTCTGACGTTTCCACTTCATTTTCACTTTCGGACACTTGATCTAATAACGTCACTTATACACTCGAGTTATCCTCCGTTAGTGGTTCAGCTTCCGCTTTATCCCTTACATTTATGTGCGCCTGCCGTTAGCCAACGCTATCTTTTACAAATATCGTACAATATTTTTAATAAATCAAAAGCTACATTGCTTTGAATTTAAAACGAAGTCGTTCGAGCTATGAAAAGTGGAAAATTTAATTAAGAAAACTATATGAATAAAGTTACTAACAATATTTTTTTGTAATAATGTAATTTTAGATAAAAATATTGCTTGGAAGTAATTTGAAAACCATATTATTCGAAGACTCGTGTTGTTTGGAAATAAAAAATCGCGAATATAAGATCCCACTGTTAATTATGTTCAGCAAAAGATCAAAGTCGCCTAACTCATCGAATTACGTTCAACTTGTATTTGCCGGCAGGATATTAACTTAAAAATCAAATCTGCAAAAATCAAGTAACGACTAAAAAAAGGAAAACTATCCAAATCATCCGATTAATTGACGAGAAAACCAAAAACCAATATTCCCGCCATTTGCAACTGACATTTCGAGAACATCAGAAAGACGCTAGAATGTGATTGGACCTTCGCAAGCACTGAAACTAATAGCACAGGACCAGCGTTCCAAATTCGAAATTTCGTTCTTTTCGCACCACTGGCTCGCGTAGCCCGCAGTGGCGGCGGCGCGGGCTGTCCAGGTGAACTGAACGCTGGCTCGCGAGATGCGCTGAAACGATGAAACCTAAGTCTCGTCCACACTCACGTAATTGCGATTAGGGCGATTCATAATAGTGCTAGAGCAAACGGCCGTATCTTCTCAGTTTTAAGGGTTATATTAACGTTAAAACTACTAAGACAACCGCGTGATTATAGTATCTACGTAACATAACTAAGATTTCACCATTATTATAGTATGACAATAAATTATAAAAGGCGATATTATATAAGATGTTTCGATGTTTTATTAAGATTCAATGTGTATTCTTCTTTACTTTAGAGTTGATCAGATTATAAAAAATAACTTCAATTATTACTATGCGAGGAACAACTTATCTGATATAAATTAGCGATAGACGATTATTACTAAAACTAATCGAATTAGTTGATTGTTGAGTTTAGTCGATAAGTGGATATCAATCGACGTTATTCGAATAATCACGGTGAGAAAGTCTAGTACTTTCGACGACAGAATGCATAATAGTACAATTTTCGATTCAGTCATTTATTTTTTTTTATCACGTTAATATTCATATTCCTTTTATTACTATTGAAATCGTTCGTAAATATGACAAGACATAGCTGTCGCGAAAACCGCAGCCATTATATCCAAAGGCAAGGATAGTGAACTGTTTAGAAGTCCTTAGGAAGTACGGATTTAGATGTGAAATAGTCTTATACGTGAAATACTGACGTATTGACAATGTATTTTCTAAGAACTAGCTAATATTATCAGATTTTTACCAAACAAACGAAAATAATTTACTTTTACAACTTTTCTTTACTCTCGTAAACAATATACACGTTGTTTTAAGATGAGATATAAAAGATTGAAGACATTAATCGAGGCGAGGAGAGTTTTTCGTCAACGTAATTGCGGTTATATCAGTGGCGTAACAAAGTGATACGGGGATACCGTAAAAGACATAGAATATTCAACGTTTCAAAATATTCAAGTGGGGTCGTTTGATCTCTGCTGACGCTACTATGCGACAATCGCTACTGTGCCCATGTCCCGAAGCCGTAGATTTCGCGAACAGGCGAACTTAATTGTTATGATAATGCCCGTGGCAAACTGGGGCGAATTCAAAGCGGCGACGCGGAGTCACGTGTCATCCTAGCATCGGAATGTGGGTGCGATTTGAAAAAAAAATATAGATATGGTAATTTAAGAGCCGTGATAGCTCGGTGTCCGGGCGCCCGCTTGTTGTTGAGAAATTGACAACTGCATTGGTGCCGGCACCAATGAAGTTGTCAATTTCGATCCACGACCTCTCAGAAGACCGGCGTAAAGTAGAAGTGTTACACTTATGCGTTTCGTCTGGTGAGTAAGGTAGCCGGTGTCCACTTTATTTAAAGGTGGCAACGAGTTTGCAACCCTACGGGTGTTGCAAATGTCCATGGGCGGCGGTTATCACTTAACATCAGGTGAACCGCCATATCGTTTGCCACTTTCTCACATAAAAAAAAATTAAAAACAAATTAGATCACCACGTCAGAGCCATCCATGTTGGTTCTGTTGTCATACGTATGGCGCTCGAGTGAAAACCGGCCTTTTAGAAAATCGATGAAAGGTGAGGTATCAAAGGCGCACCCTGATAAAAAGAAAGCAACTCCGTGGCGTGCACACAGATTTCAGACAAGATATGAACTAAAAAAAACTTACCGATAATTACGCTTGGAACTCAATAAAGACGGAAAGTCAAGAGTTAAAGTAAATTTATATATTCATTAACGATTAACATCCGTAAATTTAATATAATAATAAAAAAGTAATAGTAATTTAAATATAACTTTAAATAATAACTCGTGAGATTTGTCGTTTGAAATATTTTATATAGTATCATGCACTATCCGAATAGGTCGTAACCAGTTCTATATAACTGCCTACCCTCAGTTGGGAGTGTATCTTGCTAAAGTTAATAGCATAGTTCAAGCCTACTTTCTCTGAAATAATTATACTTCTAATATATGAACGCAACATGGATGATATTGGTACAAGGCGCTTAGCAAGAGACTCTACCCAATCACTAGTAAGTATATATCAAATGGTTGTTGTCCCCGTGTTGTATTAGGTAACATAATAGCCCAATTTTCAAAAGGTTGAAAACGCATCTCCAACCCTCGGGTGTGGCAGATGTCCATGGGCGACGGTTATCACTTAACATCAGGTGAACCGTCTGCTCGTTTGACAACTTTTTGCATAAAAAACAAAAAAACTTATCTACTTACTAGATCAGCTCAAAATAAAGGAAAGGGATTCCGCAATTGTTGTAATGATTGCTACAGATTAATTATTACGGTTATGTACATTAGGTATATATATATAAATTGATACATTTATAGTACATGAAAACACAGCGATAGGTAACGTCGAATTACAAAAAGGCTTAGCCGAGTTCGGAAAGATTTTACTGAAGGCACAGTACTTATTTGTGTCACAAGCATTTCGTGGTCATTGTATTCAGAATATAATAAGTGCATTCGCACTTTATTCTAGACGAGCGACCCGCCCCGGCTTCGCGTGGGTGCAATGTATTATACATATAAACCTTCCTCCTGAATCACTCTATCTAGTAAAAAAAACGCATCAAGATCCGTCGCGTAGTTTTAAAGAGCATACATAGGGACAGACAGACAGCGGGACTACTTTGTTTTATACTATGTAGTGATGAAGAATCTTTGGTTCTGTTCGAACCTTGACAACGTATGCCATCGGTTACAACCACAAACCTTCCATGTCACTGCGTCACCTCGCAAAGCCGCGGTTCCTGCGGAATCGTTTAAATTAAGGAAACTAGGATGTGCCGGTTGATTTTGATACTGTGTTGGCGATCTTCTTTAACGTTGTCAATCTTCTTTATCGTGGCGAATGATGTTGCAAGGCCGCAGGAATATAGCAAAGGTCATCGCGATAAGGCTGTTGCGAGACCCATTATGTATATGAGACGAGCGCGATATAAGAGTTGAGGCTCCAAATCTATAGCTCGATTTAATCTCTATAAAACTTGATAAATTCGGATGTTGTTAATAATTATAGTGTCATTTCTTATGGTGGTATACCTATTATTTTAGGTTACGAAATAAAAGAGCCAAGTCAAGGCTTAGTTATACGTCGAAATAAATGCAATAGGATTGTATACATGGCACAGAAACTAGATATTTTTTGGTAATCTTTGACTATTTCTATCCCGAGGGTGATTTGAGTGTTTGTTTAGATATGTGTGTGTAATTACTATAGCACTTTTGCAAACCTTGTTCTGAACGTAGACAAAATCTAAGTAAAATCCCTTCGGACCCAAAACAATGTAAAAAGTCGAACACTATCTTTGTGTTAGCAGCTAAGTTATTACATTCTGTCTGGTATCATCGACATACCTCAATCATCGTGTAACAACCTTTCTTTGTATGCTGTGACATTTTTAACACATACTAGTTTAGAGTGCTTCATCATCATCATCATTTCATAGGCCTGCCCCATAGACTGCCACGAAGTACGATCCTGAGCCATCGACTTCCGGCACATCTGCACTTGGAGTACATAGCTGCATTACGCCCGGATCCGAAATCCAACGTTAAAATCGCGAACGAAAATACCAACGCGACAATAAAATCACCGCCAGTGTGAATCCGCCCTAACGTTCACCTGTTAACGGACGATGTTGACCGAGAGCGTTATAACAGTTTGTGTTGGCGTTTAGCGCGTCCTCCGAGGACGTTAACGCGGCCGTTAACGAAATTCGCGGCTCTAATGATGTGGTAATCGTTCGTCGGGGATCACGTGAGACGCGGGCGGCTGGGGGAAGGCGCGGGAGGGAGAGGCAAAGAGGTAGGGATGCTCTGTCCCAAGCATATTGCTCTCTCTTTTACAAAATTTTGTTCACCATTTGTGGATCAAAACAGTTCGTATACGTGGCAAAATTGTACAGCGTGTAACCTTTCTACATCCTTAATATCATTAGAATCCGTTCAGGCTCTGAGATGTGAGTGGCGAAAGAAAACTTGTGACTTCAAGTGAATCACTGCAGTGCAATCTGAAGCAAAAGATTAAAAGCCAGTTTTCGTATTTTCAATAATTATGAGAGCGTTCTTTTTTAGAATTTCAAAATTCCAACGGGTCTATCAGCTGCTAGCCAGGTAGATTAACCGCAGAATAATTATCAATCAACTAACATCTTTAATTGAACGAATTTTATTGACTGCAAACACTCAGAATAACAAATACGAGTATTGAGTGTTTAGCTAATATGATATGTGTATTAGAAAATGTGTTACATGTGAGTTAGAAAATAAATGGAAATCAAAGACGATGTAATCCGTGAAGTTGTTTTATTATTTTATTTATTCGTACAAATTTTAAGCTCTCCTTGCTGTGGACTACTGATTAGGAAGGTCGGCACGCGATCTGTGGTGGCATTTCCAAATTGCTATTTTTTTTCAGACATCTTATTTATGTGCATATCTCATAATATAATATTTGCTTATCTCATAATGTTTTCTGTCTCAGACCTATAACCGATAACCGTCGCCCATCGACATTTGTAACACCCGTAGGGTTGCCACCTTTAAATAAAGTGGGCCCCAGCTACCACTCACCGGACGAAACGCGGAAGTATGAAACTGCTACTTCACGCTGGCCTTCTGTGAGGTCGTGGTACTTAGACAGACCTATCCATTAGTGCAACAGCGAAGACTGTTACGTGGTCCTCTATGAAGAACTACAGGGTCGATGGATCGACGCTCGACCTTCGTGATTTAAGAAGCTCGACGTATACAGCGTGTCGTTACCACCGCGACAATAAATGAACACACATATAAGGGATAACTTTTTAAAATTGTATTAAACATTTACATTCTTTAAACATCAATATTTTCAGAGTTATTAAATCTTCCAAAACAAACAATTTTAGAACACCCTTACGTATAAAACTGTAACGTAAAGTTCATTTCTAAAGGTCACAAAGCACATGAATGGGTTGAATGAATTTAAAAGAGACAAAACATACTGTTAGAAGGAGAGGCTTGTAATGCGACGCTGTGGCGCGAGTTGTATAGGATGTTACAAATTTTGTTTCTTTTTAACTTAATTAGTTTGAAAAATATATTTTTTTTTAATTATGGATTTTGTTTAACGTCTTGCTATGAACACATTCCCGTTTGTCACATGTCGACCCAAATCGCAGAATCGCTTGTGGCATTATCTTAACGAGTTTCTAAACGACACGAAATGTAACAACTGTCGATAATCGATCCGTTACACTAATTTAACGCATCATTGTGTCGACACGTGGCGATGATACGCCGCATGTAAATATATGTTTTTACAATATCATTAAGCATTAACATTTACATCGCTAAAAAACTGTTATGTCAACCCGGGTATCAGATCTGGAGATAATGTTGCCACTGCCCCTATGTACCTCAAATTTTGTAATAGGTACAATGGTCTGCGAAAAAGTTATATACGACTATCTAGCGATGTGGTTATCTTGGGGTGCGTTAAAATTGACGTTTATCTTACTCATAGAATACGAAACTAGTTTAACCAATAATGAAAATCTCATCTTAAGACGAAACATTAAAATTTGCAGAAAAAATGGGCGAAAGAACAATGTAGATAAAATGCGTTGAGATTTTCGACGGTATCAGCCGTTTAGCTTAGTGGTTAAAGCGTCTTGGTCCGAATCCGGAAGACGTTCGATTCCCACAGCGGCGAAAAACTTTTCGTCCATTTTTCTACAAATTTAGCGGAGCGGAGATTAGATTAGTACTACACAAATTTATAGCTCTTGTCTTTTAATGTTTCCGGTACTAAAGAGTTAGCTGGCTCTACCTTAATATTAATCTTAAAAAGCCCTCAAAGATGACAGGTATTTCACGGTTTACAGGGCAATATTAAAGTCGGTAAATTAATACAGTTATATCAAGTGTTCCACTTTACTTACAATTGATTTTTCGTTTTTTTAATTCATTTTACTATACTACTTGAAATAGGATACTATAGAAATAATTTTAATTGGTTTAGATTACTATCGTCCGAAACAGTCTTCGTTGTTGCATGAATGGGCAGGTCCGTCCGGGTAAGTACCTCACAGAAGACCGGCGTAGAGTGGAAGTGTTATACTTCTGCGTTTCGTCTGGTGAGGGAGGTTGCTGGCACACACGGGGGCACACTTTATTGGCAACGGCAATAAAATTTGGTGGCAACGCATTAACAACCCTATGGGTGCGCTGCAAATGTCAATGCCTGCTCGACACATTCGCACCTACAAAAATATTGAAACTTAAGACCCCTAGTATTTGTGGTGACTAGACAATAATATCCATCAAGGCAATTCTGAATGAGAAATGCATCGTGCTACAATGAAAACAGATCCTCACGGCCGAATAACTCACGAGTCCCCACTGACGGCTCCGAGACACTGTTCTAGGCTGATTGTTTGCAAGTCGTCCCTACACGGAGCGTCATTAAATACAAACACTGCATATATCTGTACAAGTATTATTTTTCTATGTTAAAAGTGGACGAGCTATTGAGTGGTTGAGTTAACTGAGGTAGGGTCACGCAGCAGTCTTCGCTGTTGCAAAAATGGGCAGACCACCGTGTTGCATTAAGACAAAAAACCTCTACTGATAAACTCTTAGCACCGAAAGTTGATGATGCAACTAACTTCGTAGACAAAGAAGTTCGAGTTTGTAGGATATATGGCAGAAAACCTATATCGGACATCGCGTCTGAACCTAAAATTAAATCCACACCACCTGGATGTCTAGCGTTCCGCAGCAGCGCGATTCTCCAGGCATTTCCTGCCTCACACAACCACTCTGTGGAACCATCTGCCGCGGGGGGTCTTTCCGAGCAGATTACGACCTGGGTACCTTCAAGAAGAGAGCATACTCTTCCCTAAAAGACCGGCAACGCATTTTCAAGCCCTCGGGTGTTGCAAGTGTTCATGGGCGGGGGTGATTACTTAACATAGGGTGAGCCTAGTGCTCGTTTGCCCCTTTTTTCATTAAAAAAATATCATGCGTTTTGTGTATCTATAATGTGAATAATATAGAAAATGTCGTGTAACCTGGATTTGTCTACCTGAAGCCATGCCTATCACTGGCGTCTAATGAATGTCACTCTCCACTGGGATTTTAATCTATGCCCTAAACAACGCAGTACTTGACGAATATCAGAAGTACTCATGTTGGCTTAGAATTGACAGATATGGAACCAAGATTCAAGTGCACACAAGGACTGGGTCGAGTGGAGTGCTGATTGCTTAAACACGATAAGCTATGCAATTACATGGTGTACATAAGTATGAAGACAATTAAATTGCATATTTGGTTAATAGGACATTGACGAAATTCTTGTGTTTTAATATAACCTCAACGATAAGGTTATTTTGTACCATAGAATGACCATGTAAAAAAATAATTACGCGAGCTTGCAGTCTACATTGAATAATTCGGGACGAGCCGTTTGTTGAAAAAAATTTTAAGAAAAAAGATGACCCAATGGGCGTAGTGGATAGTAACCCTGTCGCGCGCCAGAGAGTGGGTTCGATCCCTTCTACTGTAAAAATATTGCGTGTGCGTATAATGTTTCTCAAGTGTCTGAGTGTTTATGTATCCATAATAATATGTATTTATTTACAAAAGAAAAGTACATTTATCAGCTACCTAGTACCCAAAGTTAAAGCTTTATTTTGAGACTGGATAAAATGAAAAAATATGTCACGAAGCATCTATTAATACAGATCAGTTTCGAATGCGTAAACGCATAATTTCGTAACGTCTGTGCAAGGTAAGCACTTGGAGATAACTGTCCACGGAATGGGGACATAATTGATTACGCTGTCTTATTGTAGAAATTAATTGCTGATTCGAGATGAAATACGAGACTCGGCCTAAATAACGTTTTCAACGAGGTTCATATACGATGTGCAAATTCCATGTCACGAGTGTACTAAACGTACGCTACATTTTACAAATATTTTTTTTACGTGAGAAGGTGGCGAGCCAGCTGCGAGCGGTAAACATGATATTAAGTGATAACCGCCGCCCGTGAACATTTGCAACACCCGTGGGCTTGCGGATGCGTTGTCACCTTTTAATAAGAGGGCCCCGGTTACCTCACTCAATAGACGAAGCACATGTTTTGCCAAACCAAACTAGGTGGGATAAGGGCAGAAGGGTGATGATGATATGAATAACTTTATTTACTGAATAATTATTATGCTACAACCTTGAACGTTACTTCTCAAGTGCATGTGTTGTCACAGCTCATTATCACGGTTGGTGATGCACATGGTCGACCGCTGTTAATTGAAGCGAGAGTAATTAAAACGGAAAGCCCCATAGAAATACTGGACTGAACGTGGAGCAATGGGTCAGTGGTCATTCGACTAACGTCATTGCGCGGAGTGCTGGATTCGATAGAAATTTGCGTGATCCACAAATAACTGCCGCTATACTGGGTATATCTTGTGTCGTTGATATGCGTGTTTGTGAAAGAAAAGTGCGGGGCTTGTT